AAACCTGTAATCTCAACCAGATAATTCAAGAAGCAACAAGAGTAACACCAGATCCTAGCACCATAATTGATCATGTTTTTGTCACCAATAAAGATTTGATACTAGAATCACATGTTGCTAAATTCTCAATCAGCGATCATTATCCAGTAAGTTGAAGAAAGAAAGAAAATATGCCACTCACATCAAAAAAGATATCCATACCGCCATTTCTTACAGAAACTTAAAATATCTAATGAGACAAATTTTTAAGGGATTTAGCTATCCCATCTTTTGATAAAATTGAACATGAATGTCATCCAAATACATGTATTCAGATGTAGTATGGCATATTTAACGGAGTTCTAGATAAACATACACCTTGTTACTAAAAGATTTAAAAGACAGAAAACCTGAATGGTTAACAAATGAAATTATATATGCCAGAACATGAGAGAGAAATACCATAAACTAGGAATGTGGTCCGAGTTCAAATTTTGGCGAAACAGGACTAAGCACATAATTGATGAATCTCTTCAAAGATGGTAAAAAATTTAAAAGCATCAAAAGATTTGTGGAAATATATTCACAGTCTAAACCCATACTGACAAGAAAAATCATATGAGCTTCTAAACGAAGATGGTGTAAGAATTAAAAATGTCAGTGAAAATTGTAATGTTTTTGATAAATTTTTTAAATCATGTGTTGAAAACCTAAGAACAGATAGATCTGTGAGCAATAATCATGATTATGCAATATTGACTCAATTTGTACAACAGAAATTTACTGATTTGAAACAAGTAAAATTCTGAATTCGGCCAGAAACAGTAATAATCTATTTAATGAAATTATCAAACTTGACATTAATAAATCCTCTGGATCTCTGATAACAAAGGACCGAAAATTTTAAAATTAAGTGCTCTTTTCATAGTTTCATCTTTAACTTATATTCTTCGCAGAATAATAGATACAAGTATTTTGCCCACTGTTCTAAAGAATGCAAGAGTAACCCCTGTTTTTAAAGCCGTGGAAACATTCATGGCAACAAATTGTAGAATAATTTCTGTACTTCTTGTTTTATTAAATCTTTTAGAAAAGCATGTTTCAAAACATTTGTTTGACTATCTTTTGCACCCAGCACAGTCTGGGTTTAGACATAAACACTCATGTCAAACTTCCCTTATAAATATCATAAATAAATGTGTACAGGACATGAATGAAGGTAACATCAACTAAACAGTCCTTTTTTAAGAAAGCCTTTGGTGTAGTAGATCATGACATTCTCAGTTAAAAACTAGAAATTTATTGATTTTATAAATGCTGCTGTTTCTATTTTCAAATCCTATTTGAATGAAAGAACTCAACAAATACAAATTGGGAATGCTCATTCTGAAAAACTTCATATCAAGTATGGTTTTCCCCAAGGCTCTATATTAGGACCTCTTCTGTTTATATTATATATACATGTCCTCCCTATCTATATGAAAAATTATTGCACTGACTTATACATGTTATATGCTAATGATTCAACTTTACATCTTTCCACAAATTGTTATCAAACTCTGCAGTCAAAGGTATAAGAAGATTTGCATTGCGTTGAAGATTGGTGCAATGCTAAAAATATGTTTATAAATACATATAAAACAAAATATATGATTATTGGAAGGAAGCAAAAAGCAATGCCACATTACAGTGGAAGTTAAGACTGCCGGAAATTTATTTTATAATGTTTACATCTTATCACTTATTGATTATTGTTGTATAGTGTTGAGTAGTCGTAGCAGTGAGGGTTTAAATAGAATCTTAAAATAACAAATGAGAGCTGCTAGAAAAATACTAAAAACAGACTTTTTCGCTCCTTCTGAACCCTTATTAAAAAAACTGAAAGACAGTTGAACAGAGAATTCTCCAGTCACTAAAATCTTTTACAAAACTTCATCCTACAACAGTTTACATACTTTCAACCACGCTCTAAATGCCCGCGATTTCGCGGGTGTGTTCTAGTTTATTATATTGTAGATGCACAGAAGAGGAATGACACGCAATGGCTAATATTCCTTTTTTACACGCTCGGATACTATCTGTGACATGATTCAGCAGGAAACAAACAGCGGATATTGTTGTTGAATTTTAGTGAATGCGATGCTATATTGTATACGATGGAATTACGAGTTGCAGACAAAAGCTCTTTGTTAATATCAGATATTTGATGTTACTTGTATTACTACGTTGTCATAACTCCATCTGGAATATCCCACCTAAAAAATCCATGTTTAGTAAGTTTTCATCTTCATTCAATATCGCGTTACGCCCTTTAGATTAATGTCCATGGATGAAAAAGAAGAGAGGCGACAGATACCAAAAGGACATTCAAACTCATAAGTTGAAAATTAATGATAACACCATTGCAAAATGAGAAAAAGACAAACAAATCATCACTAGTACACAAAACACTACATAGCAAACTAAAAGCTGAGCAACACAAACCCCACCAAACATCGGGGTAGATATCAAGTGCTCTTGAATGGTATGAAAATCCTGCTTCAAATGTGGCACCATCGTGTTGCTCATTTTAGTACAATCCCGGTGATAAGTCACATTCGGTAGGTCACATTCGGGGATAGGAGGACAGGATTGTGGTTACGACGATTGGAACATATTCTTCGTCATTGGTGAAACAGATATTCCATAACGGTCAGCGAACTCGTGATGCAGTCCGTTAAATGTTTGAAGGGATGATTTCATCTTCACCACTTGAAAATCTTGGTTTAATAGCTTTCTTGTTAGAAGCAACATTCTATCAAGGAAATCATGATAGGAAACACAAGCCTTGGAATTTCGTATCAATTGGGAGATATATACTCCATATGCAGGCGCTACTGGAATGTTGTTGCATAGAAATGGAAAGTTCAAGATTGGGAAGCTGAAATCATCTCTTTGGTCGTAAAGTTTTGTTCTCAACCGACTATCATTGTCAATTTCTAGATGTAAGTCGATATATGAGGCAGACTTAATTGTATCAGTTTTATCCTTTATTTCAAAATCGAACACTTTTTAAAAAGTGCCGGTGAAAATATCCAAAGGACAAAACGTTTGGATGAATGAAGATGAACAATGGAAAATAACTCTCCGTTTCTGAAAAAATAATGGAGCCTTTGAACAAAAGATTTACGTCACAGGTGTATTTTAAGTAATGTTTTGTGTTTTTTGTTTTCACTGTTTTCAGAAAATTTGGTTTTGATGGAAGATCCTGGATAATTAAGGAATAACAATACTGTAGTTGGTGAGTTGCCGCGGTCAATTGGCGATGATTTGGCGGTCACAAATGCATTTTTACTTCCGACGAGCAGCGGAGACATTAAAACGGCTTTTTGCGACAGTCAAATCCCAATTGACGGCGGCAACTCTTCAACTACACTACTGTTATTTCTATTCGAATGCATCATAAAAAGAAATAGTACATTAGAGCCTGTAAAAATGTGAAAATTTAGATACTATAAAATGCCGCGGAGCTTCATGAATGATTTTTGTGCATTGACATCATAGCACAATATAACGTCATATATTTGAGTACGAAAACGCTCATACTGAAGGTTAATTCGTTACTTGCACGATTCAAAATTTAATAAAATAACATTGAATCGACGTTTTTGATGTTGTTTATGTTTATTTTATTGATCATATTGTATTAAACGAATATTTGTGGAATGTAGCAATTCCAAAAGGGGCATATAAATTGTGGATTTGATGATAAAGTTTAGACAATATAGAAAAAGACATAAGTATACAGATTTCATTAGAATCTGTGTTATCTTTATTCACTACTTGTCTAGACAAAGATTATTTACAGCTTCTTTATTGTCGAAGACCATCTGTTAACCTCTACATGTCTTTTGATTTCTTGTGTTGTTCGTTTGCTATCACGTTGATATTTAGCTTACATCTCCTTTCCCACACAAAATGCAGGTCAGCTTGCTCGCATGTCATGGTCAGCATTAAAAACTACATGATGACAAAACATCCCCAGCATCATATAAAGACTTTGTGATGACATTTAAAAGATACATACATTAAAACTTCTTTCTAAGGGATCATATCAAGTGTATATGGTTTGCTGACCTAATAATGTAGTGTGCGTATTGGACAAGTCAAAAAGTCCTTGTTATGCCAAAGTAAACACAAAAATCAGGTATATGAAAAATTAAATTCAAAAGAACTTACTCTTGTGGAGAGTTGTCTCATTGGCAATCATATCACATCTTATTTTTATATTAATGTAAGTAAAATCTGTGAAAATTTGAAAATCATTTTAAATTAATGAAAGTACCTTCCTCATGATCTATCTTTTCCTTTCCTGGTTTTAACCTACCATTTTCTTCGAAAATGCCTGTATCAAGTAAGGAATATGGCAGTTGTTTTTCAATTGTTCTGTGATTGATATCGTTTGATTTTGTCAGTTTTTATGGACTTCCCATTTTTGAAGTTGCCTTAGAGTTTGGTAGTTTTGTTATACTTTTTGTCCTATTTGATCTTATAGGCAGTACTATTGGTAACAGTTATGTCAAAACCAGTATAACTCTTCTGATAGACTGTAAGTCCGCAAGGGTATCATTATCTCAGTATTCAATACTTGAATATTAAAAATTCGGAGATTTTGTATTGAAATTTGCTTTAATTTAATGTTGGAAGTTTTTTTGAAATTAAGCAATGAACCTCCCTCACAGATTTGTACATAGCTCGGATTCCTTGTAGGGATTTGATTTTTTTTTATTCTTTGCGGTCTTATTAGCTCTTCAACCTTAGAGTCAGTCTCTAGATTTTCAAATAGTTTGTCTCGACCGTCACTGAGGAGATATTATTTGTCGAAATACGCATATGGTCCAGTAAAAGTTGTATCGTTATTGTTTTTCACCAAAAATATGTCACGCTGTTGAGGAGCATTTCACAAAAGAAAAGACGGACGGACGGATACTTCCAATCCCTATACACTTCCTGTTTTTGAAAATGGGGGTTATGACGAATTGATTTTTGTCGAGCCTGCGACTTTTGTCGCAGAAAGCTCGACATAGGGATAGCGATCCGGCGGCGGCGGCGGCGGCGGCTACGGCGGCGGCGGCGGCGGCGTTAGCTAACTTCTTAAAAGCTTTATATTTTAGAAGGTGGAAGGTCTGGATGCTTCATACTTTGTATATGGATGCCTCATGTTACGAAGTTTCCGTCAGTCACATGTCCAATGTCCTTGACCTCATTTTCATGGTTCAGTGACTACTTGAAAAAAAAGTTAAGATTTTTTGTAATGTTAGATTCTCTCTTATTATAAGTAATAAGATAACTATATTTGGTATGTGCGTACCTTGCAAGGTCCCCATGCCCGTCAGACAGTTTTCACTTGACCTCGACCTCATTTCATGGATCAGTGAACAAGGTTAAGTTTTGGTGGTCAAGTCCATATCTCAGATACTATAAGCAATAGGTCTAGTATATTCGGTGTATGGAAGGACTGTAAGGTGTACATGTCCAACTGGCAGGTGTCATCTGACCTTGACCTCATTTTCATGGTTCAGTGGTTATAGTTAAGTTTTTGTGTTTTGGTCTGTTTTTCTTATACTGTATGCCATAGGTCTACTATATTTGGTGTATGGAATGATTGTAAGGTCTACATGTCTAGCGGGCAGGTGTCATTTGACCTTGACCTCATTTTCATGGTTCAGTGGTCAAAGTTAAGTTTTCGAGTTTTGGTCTTTTTTTCTAATACTATGTGCAATAGTTCAACTATATTTGGTATGTGCGTACCTTGCAAGGTCCTCATGCCCGTCAGACAGTTTTCACTTGACCTCGACCTCATTTCATGGATCAGTGAACAAGGTTAAGTTTTGGTGGTCAAGTCCATATCTCAGATACTATAAGCAATAGGTCTAGTATATTCGGTGTATGGAAGGACTGTAAGGTGTACATGTCCAACTGGCAGGTGTCATCTGACCTTGGCCTCATTTTCATGGTTCAGTGGTTATAGTTAAGTTTTTGTGTTTTGGTCTGTATTTCTTATACTGTATGCCATAGTTCTACTATATTTGGTGTATGGAATGATTGTAAGGTGTACATGTCTAGCGGGCAGGTGTCATCTGACCTTGACCTCATTTTCATGGTTCAGTGGTCAAAGTTAAGTTTTTTGAGTTTTGGTCTTTTTTCTAATACTATATGCAATAGTTCAACTATATTTGGTGTATGGAAATATTTTATGATCTATTTGGCAGTCACACAGGTTTTATTTAACCTTGACCTCATTTTCAAGGTTCATTGCTCAGTGTTAAGTTTTTGTGTTTTGGTCTGTTTTTCTTAAACTATAAGCAATAGGTCAACTATATTTGTTGTATGGAAGAATTGTTAGCTGTACATGCCTGCCTAGCATGGTTCATCTGACCTTGACCTCATTTTCATGGTTCATTGGTCAATGTTAAGGTTACTTGGTTTATGTTAAGTTTATGTGACAGTTGTAATAAAGCTTTATATTTAGGACTATCAACATAATATCAATGATTAGTAAAGAAGGCGAGACATTTCAGCGTGTGCACTCTTGTTTTCTATAAGAGACAACTTCTTAAAGTCTGCATACAGTTACATCCTGTAGATTTAAGAGACAGAAGCATCATCTATTATCACATGTATCAAGTTAAGTTTATATAACATAATTTATGGTGAGTGACTATTTGTTATAGGCAACAGTGAAAACTAACTATTAATTTAGTTATCTTTTTTATTAGATGAACTCATCATATATACCACGATTAAAAGTGTGTACGCCAGACGCGCGTTTCGAACGAATCATCAGTGACGCTCGAATAAAAAAAGTTAAAAAGGCCAGATAAAGCACAAATTTAAAGAGCATGGAGGACCAAAAATTCCGAAATGTTTTTCCAAATACAGCCAAGGTTATCTATTCCTGGGGTAGACAATCCTTAATATTTCGAAAAATTCTAAGTTTTATTAACAGTTAATTTATTTTTTTGACCATATATCAATGATAATTGATGTCAAAACAGAAGTGCTGACTACTGGGCTGATGGTACCCTCGGGGAAAAGATAATGAAAAATAATTAAATCAAACATGGCAGAAATGTCTCAACAAGATGATATCAAATTATTGAGATTTTAATTTTGACTTGTCAATACAATTGACAGCTTTTAGTTATTTATTAGTTTCCCAGTTATAAATGATCTTTCTATGGTCCTCAATAATTCAGGGATCACCATGTCCTATTTAAGCGTGACGGTGCGCAACGTTAAAAATTCCAAAAGCCACGATTATTTTATTGTCCGCCACACTTGAAAATTCAATAGATTGAAGTTAGATTTCAGATATCCCTAATCCAATTAACATGCCAGTGGCAATTATGAAATATAATTATTGTTAATTGGTGTGAACATTTCCTTAAGGGATTTACACTGACAGTTGATTACATTATTTATATGGTCTCGAGTGGTTGAACAAGGTAACAACTAATGAACGATCATGACCCAGTTTCTTCAATTTGAAAAGTGAATTGTTTGCAAACTACTGTTATTCTATAAATGCAAATGTTTGACTGTACCTTAACTAAAATGTTTATATCCTATCTAAATTAATAAAAGCAGTAATCCAGAAAACAAATGAATTCCCTGCCCACATGTTCCTTTTGTTGACAACGATGTCACGTGTGCTGATTTGGCGGGAAAATAATGGGAACACATAAATAACAGACAACATGTTAGATCAACAGCTGGGATAGGAGTATCATTATCTTAAAACTCATTTAAAGTATGAGAAGAGTAAAACTGGATATATATAATTTATACATCCTTGGCTTCTAAATATTCGGCTTTGAGCGTTCCTGATGAAGGTAAATCCAGATAAGCGCTTCGGACGCATTAAATTTACAACGTGTTGTTTTCATTTTTTACATAATTGTATTGGAAAAGAGGGGAGTTAATTTGATAACATTATACACAACAAATATGCTAGATAGACTAAATTTGGTTGAAATTACTTTGAAATTCTGTGACTAAATATGTTTTTTTTTATTATTATTAATTTCTTTATCTTTTTTACCATGTGGTTTTCCATAAGACAATTTAAATCAAATCTAAAATTGTTAGAAAGCTCTTTAAAACAATAAAATGATATCATGAATACTTTATCACATGAAAAGCAATATTATATGTGGATCCCTCACTTTAATATCCCTGCAATCTGGGAAGCCACACTAGGTGTTTACTTCTCCCTGTTTAATAGGTTCCTACAAGTGTGGTGTCCACTAATAGGACTAACTACAAAATATATGTGAGACCCCCATCCTCCTACCCCTTTTCCAAATTAGCTATATATGACAAAAACTTGTAAGGCATATAATTAACAATTTATGCGCAAGGAACAATTTGACAACGCAACACACAATCTCTGACTTGATGAACTTTCTCCCCCACCCTTGATTTTCATTCTGTGGTGAACCATAGAATGAAAATCATTCATCAGTGACACGCAGATAGGAAATAGACGGTTATGACAAACCGACGTCGCAAAAAATGTTTGCGGCCTTCAGTCGATTTTTTTATTTGTGTTTCCGTACATCAAGGGACACATTTTTCATTCATATTTAAGACAACAAAAAAATGAACCACATTCAATAGTATAGGTTCTGCAGTATGTCAACTAGTATATGAGCACAAATTTCGACTGCAACTGGAAAAGGAGAGCATGTTAGACAAGGAAACCAGATTTGTTTCAAGGTTTCTGTAAAGCGTAGTGAGCATTGAACTATCTATACTGGTTGATAGGGTCTGGCATAACACCCGACCCTTCAAAAGCCGACAAAAGCTTTTCTGTCGTACGTGGGAAATTTGGGTTGCATTTTTTCTATATCCTAATCATTTCATTATGAAAGATACAAATAAGATGACATAGATATTCATGAACATGAAAAATTACATTTTGACAGTCTTATAAAATTATTATTTGATTGTATTTGTCAAATATGATTTTTCTTACATTTACATAGAATTCAATTTGTGTTGTATTTATGACTAGAATCATGATTTCCATCTTACAATTTTTTTAAATATTAATTAAAATTGTATGCTCGATATTCAAAGCAAAACAATGACTGATCAAAACAAAATAACTGACAGAATCCTGGCCAGCCATAAATTGCTTTTCTACAGATTCGGTTTTGTTACTTTATAAGTTTGTGAGATGCATGGATGGATATAATATAACTGGTTGAACTATGAAGCCTGGTTCATATAAATCAAGGAACATGTCGGTGTTAGGGTATATAACAGTTGGTTCCCATGCGAATGCCAAGTGTATGTTGCAAACCACATCTGTTAAACTTTAAAACAAAAATCAAGCTTGAAAAAGACTCTTGAATACAGACACACCTGTGCAGTTGGAAAAGTTTAAACATAAATTAAAATAAAAGTTAACCGTATTTTGTGTTTAAGAAAGATTAAAAATTCTTTTTGGATTTTGATGGGTAATTCTTTTTGTTTTCTACAAAAGGTGTAAAAAAAAACTAAGTTGTGTAATATCTTTGAGATGCCTCCTCACAGATAAAAAAAACAAGAGAAAGAATACACCAAAGGGGCACTTGAAGATCTTAAAATCATATTTCCCCTATATTTAACGACGAAAGGACAAACAAAATAAAACAAAAACATTACATAGAAAACTTAGCTCCAGCACGGTGGGGGAGCAAGAAGGTGAACTGTGGTTTATTTTTATCAATAGTACAGCTTAAGTCGACGCTAGGGGCCGTCTTGACCTTGTTGTAGGGTATGAATGATTCGTTCATTGTTGAAGACCCTACATCAACTGTCAAGATGAAGATTAGGAATAAAAGCCCTGTTCATTGATAATTTTCTATGTTTTCTATGTATTATGTGGGATTTTGTCCCATGTACATTGACTCTAATCCTTTCATTTTCTATTAAAATTTTCTAAGATATGACTTCGAATTTACCATTTGGAACTCCTAATACAATAGCTTTCTTGTTAGCAGTATTACTCTTTGAAAACAAAATCATGATAGGAAACGAAAGCCCTGGAATAACATATAAACTGACAGGTATTTACTACGTATGCTGGCGCTGCTTTAATATTGGTAAACAGAAATAGAAAGTTCACTATTGCAAATTGAAATCGTCTCTTTTGTTGTAAAGTTTGGTCCTCACCCAACCCTCACTGTAAATTTCTAGGTGGATGTTAAGATATGAGGCAGACTAACTTGTATCTGTATAGCCTCTATTTCATGTTCATTTAGATAGATGCAGTCAACATAATATTAAAGTTTGATTTATTAAGTAAAAGGACTTCATCTTTATAGCGGCAAGTGAAATTAAAGGAGAAAGCCATCTTCTCTCCATTGATTTAGAAGCTTCTATACGAAGTATGCCTCATACGAATAAAGGAACAAGTTGGCAAGCAGAGGGTCACAATTTTGTTTCCATTGGAATACCAATTGTCTGTAACATGTCCTCGAAATGTTACAAATATGTTGTCAATAAAACAATCAAGCATGTTGAAGATGTCAACTTCAGTGAATTTTTCTGCTTTAATCAGAGTGTTTTTTAAGTATGAAAGTATGAATTTCCCCTTACTTAAACAAAATATTTGTATGAGAGTTGGTCATTCTGTTATATGAAAAAAAGTTAGACCAATTTGTTTAATCTGCATTCAAGTTTAGAGCAGAGAATTCTAGTGTAAAGAATAGAGAAGTCAAATTTGTTTATACTTTTCAAAGAAGAGATGGACTTTGACTGAATGTATTCTATCAGATCTTTTGTATTTTTAGTACCTGCATCTAATTTCACACTACCCTTAGAATAGGTAGTTTCACAGTAACTTTGAAGCCCAATTGATTCCTGATAAGATAAATGTTAATAATTTGGAAAGAGGTTTCGTGTAGCATTTAGCAAACTCAGCAATATAACGTTGTTTGTAAGGACTCTTTTATTTTGTATTCAGTAGAGTGAAAGAATATCCCGTTTTTCATCTTTTTTTTGAAATTCCAAAGGAACTAAAAGCGATTTATGAACATTCAAGATTCCTCTTTTGTAATAGTCATGAGCATATATGTATATAAGTGAATTGTCAACACCATATTCCTTTATCAAACGGTTAAAATAATATGATTTACAAACTAAGAACGGTATTGTTTTGGGCTTTGTCTTCAGGGACAATAACATATTTATCATAGAGGTAGGACAAATGATTAGCAAACATTGGGTCTTCTGGAGATATATGTAAAACGTGTGTTCAAAGACCCGTTAAGTCTTCTGATTCTGATTTGTATAAACAGTCTGGCAGCCTCTACACACTCGGAAAGAGTATCTATATCTATTTTTCACGTTTTGCAAATTGTCTGACATAATATTCGACTGGATCCATAAAAATTTTAGCTTTTCAATCGGTTTGCATTTGAAAATTGTCTTGTAATAGGTATGGTAGAGGAATAAGAGATGATTGGTACAGACAGATCATTGATGTAGAAGGGTATTTTAGATTTCACTGATTTTTTAGGAAGGATATTACTTAAATTTGTGGAT